AGGGGAGGGTGGAATGTGGACAAACGGCTTCGCGGGTCAGGCATTTTTATGGTGAAAATGATCTGAGCTAGAAAGAGTTGCTGGTTGCACACACGTGAATGTGCTGACCTCCACTGAACTGCTTAAAATTTTATGTTGTGTAAATTTTACTTCGCTAAATTCTTTTCAAAAGGTTAGTTCTAGTACCTTGTGGAAATTGTGCTTTTTTTTCTCATTTGTTGGAACTGTTGCTCTCCTTGCACTTACTACTCGCTCCCCAGCAGTAATCTTTCCAAAACAACCCCTTCCCTATGCTTTTCTTTTTAAACGCTGTCTTTTGTGGAGAGGGTACCTTTGTCTCGGAGGCACGAGTGGTCACTGTGACTCTCTGGGTTGTAGCCATGGAATACTACAGCTCTAGGCACGTGAGTATTCACCTAAGGACTAAATGTTCACTCCTGTGTCCAGTGCGGTCCTACAGGCTGACTAAATGCTTGTTCCTATGAGGTCTTCTTTAATCTTTCTAAACAATCCATAGAGAAAACTCAGGGATCTCTGAACTCAGTGGGGTTCACTGCCTAATAATTTGGGCACTTGTACAAAACAATTCCTTAAGATACTACATGACTGTTTTGCTAAAATAATGCATATTGTAGATGCAATTTCTATTTCCTGGTGACATCTTTGAGTATAAACACAACTTGAAGATAATTTCATTGAATATATTTCCTTAAGAAATTTGACAAAAAATTGAAATTCATTCTTTTTTCCTTATTTCTAGAACAATCTCCCTCTCACGTCAGAATCGACTGATAGTTGACACTTATCGAGCAGTTTCTGCGCTCCACATACTCTCCAGGCACACTGCAAAGCTGTTACCACTCAAGCTTGGCGGTGATTAAGGTGAGGATCAGGGCCCTCCCCTCCCTCTCACTGGGGAAACCAAAGGTAGGCCTGGGCCAGTGTGATTGCACAGCCTGAATCCCAAACCACTGTGACCGCAACGACCGCATCACACCATGAGTCCCACGTCTCGTTCTACTGTCTACGTTCTCCTGGTTAGGGACCAGGGGCTTTCAGAAACTCATTCCAATCCCTTGATGTTCCACTGAAGAAAAGCATGCAGGGAAGTATGTCACTACCTAAAGGCAAGTGACAACTTCAGGTTAGTTTCCACCAAACCAACCTCCTGAGGGTTGGTTTGCTGAAAACTCTAAACCCTGAGGGAGTGGGGTCATCGCCGACAGCAGATACTACAGAGGTGGATGGTCCCCTCCACTGGACACTAGAGGGGTAGGTGGTCCCCTGCACTAGACACTAGAGGGGTGGGTGGTCCCCTCCACTAGACAGTAGAGAGGTAGGTGGTCCCCTCCACTAGACAGTAGAGAGGTGGGTGGTCCCCTCCACTAGACAGTAGAGAGGTGGGTGGTCCCCTCCACTAGACAGTAGAGAGGTGGGTGGTCCCCTCCACTAGATAGCATAGAGGTAGGTGGTCCCCTCCACACTAGACACTAGAGAGGTAGGTGGTCCCCTCCACTAGACACTAGGGGGGTGGGTGGCCTCTCCACTAGACACTAGGGGGGTGGGTGGTCCCCTCCACTAGGCACTAGAGGGGTGGGTGGTCCTGTCCACTAGACAGTAGAGGGGTGGTGGTGTCCTCCACTAGACAGTAGAGAAGTGGGTGGTCCCCTCCACTAGACAGTAGAGAGGTGGGTGGTCCCTTCCACTGGATACTAGAGGGGTGGGTGGTCCCCTCCACTGGACACTAGAGGGGTGGGTAATCCCCTCCACTAGACACTAGACGGGTGGTCCCCTCCAGTAGACACTATACGGGTGGGTCATCCCCTCCACTAGTCATTAGAGGGTGGGTCATTTTTATTCTTGATTGTCTCTGCAATGTTGTTCGAGTGAAAAGCCCGGAAGGAGAGTCCACAGCACAGGCTCTGCCCGTCTGCGCAGCCACAGAAGACAAATTTGTCTTAGAATGGGACTGGGAAGGGAGAGAAACTGGGCTTTCCTAGAGAGGAGGGACGGATGTTTGCTGAGCACCACAGGGGCAGGGGATGAAGTGATTGGCAGTGCTCCTGGGGAGACGGTGTGTAAAGTGGGCTCCGACTGTCGTATGCAGACCCTCCTCAGGGCCATAGGGGCTTTGGGCTGACAGTGAAGGCAGGTGACGTGGAAAGCCCTCTCAAGGAGAGGCGTACCAGAGTGGAGGGGCACAGGGTGGATGTGAGCAGGCTCAGCTTCTTCAGCATTTTGCTACCTGGCTCACTGCAGCCACTCTAGCGCAGAACCCCACGTTAATTCACATCCAGGCTGTGTCAGCCTCAGAAACATAAGCAGTTTTAACATGGAAAAGAAATTCACCACAAATTCACCTGACTTTGTCAGGGAAAATTCTGTAAGATCAATCTAAAAGTATTCAAAAGCTTTGTCTCTGAAAATCCGGGTATCATGAAGTAGGCAGCTTTCCATTCAGGAACATTCTGCTAAAGCATGGTGACGTAAGTGAAGAGCGGCTGTGTTTCCTTTTAAAACCATGTGCACACCTGTTTTTAAGTTGGACTCTATGGTACTGAGAGGTGGGCGGGGCACACATAATCCCTGCAAACAATGGACAGACTGAATTCAGAGATGCTGGGCTACTGGCCCAAAGGACACAGTTGGTGGAGGGTGGACGTGTGCATTTTCAAGATCTCAGGCCTGACACTGGGGCACAAGGGCGGGGGCCTGGGCCTATTACCCACTTCACAGACACCTGCCCACAAGGCCCCCGAATGGTAAAAGAAAATGGTGGGTGCCTTCTGCTCACTAGAGCCCAGATTCCCAGGCCCAGCACCAACTCCTTCAGAACAGAACGTGCCACCTCCCAACCCCCTCCAGCCCCGCCACCCACTCATCCCAGTCTTCTCCTCTTCGCTCTCCCCCTGCTCAGAAGCATGCTGGGTTCTCAGGTCAAACAAAGTCTGAGGCTCCGTCTTCAACAATATAGTGGAAGAAGGGAGCCCCTCACCACACACATGGCACCCGAAACCTTGGCTGGACCCATCAGCACCGGCCCATCCACAGGAAGTACCTGCCCTGCCAGGCGTGGGAGGACCCAGGTGGGGACCAGAACCGCTGCCCCAGGGCACAGAGGCACTGATGCTGCCTCAGCCAGGAGAGGCACCAGAATTTCAGGGCCCTTGAGGGGAGAAGCAGAACCAGAGCCCCGAGTTTGGCCAAAACCTAGCTTTGCGGCTTCTTGGCAGTGAGACGCTGGGCAGGCACTGAAGCCTCAATTTCCACCATGTGTAGAACGAGTAGCCCCACCTTGGAGGTCTGAGGTTAGGGTTAGGAGGCTCTAGATGGCCTGACTTCTGTTCAAACGAAAAGAGAGGACAAACTCATTCTGTTTAGAAGAGGGAGGAGCGGTGTCTGAGCTGGACTCAAACGACTTCCCACGAAAATCTCTGAGATCTGGGCACGTAGGGCCTCCCGCCTGGCTGGATGAAACAGCCTGTGAACACAGGTCTCAGAGAGCCTTGGGGCAAATTATTTCCTCAGCCCAGCATTTTTGGGATACTTTACAAGTAATGAAGAATTTCTGTGAGACCACCAGCCAGCTTGAGAGCTAGCCAGTGTCACAGATCCCACAAAGGCGATGTCAGACTAGACCAACCCACCCACCAGAAAGGCCTGCAGGGTCCCCTCTACCAGCATAAAAGATGAGAGGCCTCCCACTAACACGGGGGACCTGGCACCCTGCCCTACCAGCAGGCTGCAAGTTCAGAGGCCTGTGCACTCCCAGCCCAGGCCACACCTGCATTTACACACCAGATGCTGGACACACAGTGCAATAAAAACCCGGTGACTCCTCAGAAGCAGAAGTGAGTTTGCACCCACTTCTCGGTGGGGGTCACCAAGGACTGCTGTCCAGTGGGTTATGATCCCATCAAGAACGTAACTGCTGGATCTCTCACAGAATCTCAGAAATGTCAGCCTCCTAAAGCTCTCTCAAGTTCCTCCTGACCCAGAGAACATGGAATTTTGTGAATTCGAGGCGGGCTGCGGGAAACTGAAAGCTTAAACTCACCTTTGTCCATTTTACACGAAGATTTACAGTACATCTCTTGACAGGAAGCTGAGAAACCTACCTTCCCAGGCATCTTGAATCCGGGCCCACGCCTACGGGTCAGCTAGAAGTATCAATTACGCACCGTTTAGACGGTGTTTAACTTAATTTTTAATTATGTGTTTTAAATCTTAATTAGACACCTAGACTTACCAACTAAACTTTTAAGCAAAAGTGCTGCTGGGTAGCAGGAGTAGACGGTAATTACCACACCTCAACCACGCTTTGGCTTCCCGCGAAACATGGAAACACCCAATATACTGAAAAACCTGAAAACAGCTTTATCGCGCTGTCCCAAACCTGTTGTCTTGTTTTACCAGGAAATGTTTCTTACTTAATTCACCTGGCATGGCCACACGAAAGTCAGCCGTGGTATTTTTAAGTAAAAATTCTTTGTTTCCGGCGCCACAGTTCACGGATTGGTCCCACCGGTTAATTTAGCAACTCAGTTTTGGGGAAGAGATTTCACAGAACTCCCCCGTCCCGAGAGCGATTTCTCCTCCCAAGCACTCAGGAGGCCGCAAGGAAAAGGGGGCCTGGAAAAGTTCCCTCCGCTCCTGCAGCAGCCGCGGGCAGGTCCCAGGACCAGCGCCAGGACCCCCAGCGCGCCCCGACCCACCCCACCCCGTACCCGCCCGCGCCCCCACGCCCCCACGCCTCCACCCCCGCCCCCACCCCGCGCCCCCACCTGCCCTACCCCCACCCACCCCACGCCCCCACTCACCCCAGAGCCCTTACCTACCCTCCTCCAGTGCCCTCCCGCGCCCCACCCCCCTACCCCACACCCCGGCACCCACCCCGCGCCCCCACTCACCCCGGGGCCCTTACCCACCCTCCTCCAGCGCCCTCCCACGCCCCCACCCCCCTACCCCCACCCCGGCGTCCACCCCGCGCCCCCACTCACCCCTGCGCCCGGGCTGCCTCCGCCGCCTTCGGCGCTGAGACCCATTGCTGACGCTTTCCGCGAACTCCGTGGGGTCCCGCTGCGCACTGGGCCGGGGACGCCACGGCCGCCTCCCGGCGCGGTGTTCGGGTGAGAGGGGGCGGGGCCGGGGTCCCCCGGAGGCTCCGCGGGTTGGGCCTGGGCGGGGCGTCTCCCTGTACGAGGCCAGACCCCACCTGGGCGGCTCCTCCAGCGCGGGCGCCAGCGGCTGCTTTTGTCCTCTCGGGACTCAGGGACCTGCCATCTTGTGGCTGCCGCGCCGCACCGGCCTCCGCGGGTTTAGACGCCGGGCCCTGGTTTCCCACAACGAAGACGCACGAGTCGGAACCCTCCAGGGCAGGGGATCTGACCCGCGAGTTCTTCCAGTGTCCACGAACGGGCCCGACTTCCCCGGTCCAGGCGGACGGCTCCAGATTTCCGCGGCTGGGGACGGCGCAGACCCTCCTCCCGTCCCAGGGCCGCTGTGGGAACTCGGCCTCCCTGCCTTGTCGGGAGGATGAAGGGCTTTGGCGAAGGCGAACTCCCTCGCACCCCTCCCCCCACGCAGGTGCCTGGGGTGTCTGGCCTCTGAACAGGCTTTTCCCGAATATGCAGTTTTAATGCCGTGGTCTACAAAGTGCCTCCCCAAAGTCCCTTTCCTGCCCGTTAGTCCAGGAAGGCCACGTGTAGGGTTCTTGCTCTGGGCACCAGCTTCCTGCTGGGAATTCAGCTAGTCAAGATCTCATAGAGTCTGCCCCATCCAGAAGGTCCTCACGTGCACCCACCAACATCTAGAAACCTCCCCTCCACGTCTTGTCTCTCATGCCCACCCTGCACCATCCCAAAAACTGCGGTACAGATGTGCTCATTTACAGATCATGCTCCGTTTTTTCACAGGTTACAGAGTGGATGAAGGTCAGGGAGACCGGGGAGGCTTCCTCCTATGGAACATGCAGCCTCCCTAGAATCCCCGTCTACACCCTCCTGGAATCCCCATCTACTCTTCCCTGGAATCCCTGTCTACCCCTCCCTGAAATGTCTGTCTAGGCCACTCTTCAGTCTCTGCCTGTCTAGGCCTCCCTGGAACCTCTGTCTGTGTCCCCCTTGAGTCTTCGTCTATACCTGTGTTCTCACTGTTCCCTGCCCTGCTCACCTGCTCTGCTTCCTAGAACCTCCAGCCCCATCCCTGAGCCCAGCACGGAGCTGACTTGTCCCTGCCCTCTGTGCTGGGCATCTGTCCCTGTCCCTCTGTGGCCAGCCCCTACCTGAGGCCCCAAAACTCCTGCCTCAACCTCCTCCCACCCCCTCTCCCCGTGACAGTACTGCCCACGGTGCTGTCCAGGATGGGAGCCACCTTATAAGCTTGTGTGGTCCCACAGCTCCTGCCAGAGCAGGACCCAAGAATGCTGGCATGCCTCCAGAATGGACTTCATCCTGTTCAGCACCTCCAGGATGGTCAGGGTGCAGCCCGGAATCTCACTCTCACTGGAGACTTTGGGGCCCATGGTTGGAGCTTGTCCCTGTCACACTCCACTCTGCAGAAACAAAGTGCAGTGCGTGGGCTTTCTTGGCCCAGGAGTCCTTCATGGGCTTTCTCGGACCTGGTTTCTTCTTTGCTATGGATCCATGGAATTAGGGATGTTTTCTAAGAAGTTTTTCCAAAACCCAGACAACTAAGATAGCTTGGTTTATTCGAAAAGCACTTTCACTGGCCAGTCACAGCACAGCCCCCATCTTTGGAGACCTGACATTCTCGTGGAGGGAAATAAACCAGTGGACAGAAAACACAAATCCAGTCAAGGAAGGCCTGTCTGATGGAGATGGCTGAGCAGACACTGAGAGGAAGCTACTTGGGACTTCTTTTTTTTTTTTGAGACAGAGTTTCACTCTTGTTACTCCAGTCTGGAGTGCAATGGCGTGATCTTGGCTCTCTGCAACCTCCACCTCCCTACCGGGACTTCCAGGCAGAGGAGCCACCTGTGCAAAGGTGCTGTGCTGGGGGCAGATCTGGTGAGCTTATGAGCACAGCGAATGTGGGGACACTCAGAGGGGACAGGGTTGGAAAGGAAGCAACCTGCTCTGACTCACATTTCAGCCAGCTCAGCAAGCCAAACTATGAGGAAGTGGCTGCCTGGTCCTGGTGAAAGTGATGAGGTTGGGTGAAGGGGAGTGGCAGAGGTCGCAGGAAATGGTCCAAGCAGGGCCTGTAAAGGCAGCGGGGGCAGGACTGCTGAAAGGCTGGCCGTGGAGAGAAAGAATCCGAAGAGCATAGAGGCAGACACTGTGAGTTACTGACCACGCCCTGCCACCACTCCTGGAATGCCCTCCAGCATGCAGAAGCTGAAGGCTGCAATACTATATCACGGGACCCCGTGCAGCTGTTGTGCAGATATGCCCAGTTTTGCCAAGAGATGCTCCACATGAGATGTGTAAGGAAAACAGGAGTCGGGCTGGACACAGCACATGGGTGGTGGAGGTGCTTGGTTCTTCCGGGTCCTGTCCCTGGCATTGCTAGTGCTGAGCAGCAGGGGATGGGGGTGGGGTTCCCTAACACAGTCCTAGGGCATGGCTGGGCATTTCTCTAAGTTGCTGTTATTTCTTGCTGTCCTGGCTTCCTGACTCTCCCACGGATGCTACATTCTACCCTGTGGCTTCACACACGCCCTTCACTGCTTAAATCCCCATCTATACCTCCTGGGAATCCCCATCTAGGGGAGTCAGCACAACACAGCAATTCAAGGATTTGGGGCCTGAGCAGCAGGTGGAAGGTGCTGTCCCATACCGAGGTGGGAGGGACTGGAGAAGCATGTCTGGGGGGAAACGTTGAATTCAGATTGAGATGCCTACTGAACATACTGAGTGGACTGACTGCTGTATGAGTCTGGTACTTGGAGTAGTGGTTGCACTGGAGATGTGGTTCTAGAACCATCTACCACACAGGTGTGTCTAGATGGAGAACCTAGAGTGCGACAGAGGGAGGAGGAACCATGACTGGGCCAGTCACAAGAGTAGACAGCTGTCCTTCACAAACACCTTTAAAAAATTGGAATGGAGAGAACGCTTCCTAACTCACTGTATGAGGTCAGCACTTCTCAGACCCAAAGCCAGATGAAGATATCCTGGGAAAAGAAAACTACACACCAACATCCCTTATGAATACAGATGCAAAACACGTCAAAACAGTGTTAGGAAACAGAATCCAACAGTAGGTTATGAGGACTGTTCACCATGACTGCGTGGGATTGATCCCAGGAACACAGGTGGTTCCACGTAAGGAAATCAGTCAGTGTCATGCTCTGCAGTCGCAGAACAAAGGGAGGAAACCCACGCGATCATCTCAATTGCTGCAGAAAAGGCATCTGTAAATCCAATACCCTTTTGGAAAAAAAGCTCTTGGAAAACGAGGATGGGAGAAAATTCCTCAAGGGATACAAAGTATGTTTGAAAAACCCATAGCTAACATCATCCTCAGTGGTGAAAGACGGAACATTTCCCCCCAGATCAGGAGGCAGACAAGGGTGCGGATGCTGCCACCTCTGCTCACACAAGTTCCAGTGCAGCAAGAGACAACCCACAAAAATAAACAAATGAAAGGCATTCGAATTGGAAAGGATGAGGTAAACTCTCTGTTCGCAGATGACATGTTCCCATACAGTGAAAATTCCAAAGAATACACAAAATCTGCTAGAGCTAATATAAAAATTCAACAAAGTCACAGGGTACAAGATTAACATGTGAAAACTGGTATTTGTATTTCCATACAACAGCAATGAACAAGATGAAAAGGAAATTTAAAAAGTAATTCAATTGACAACAGCATTCAAAAGAATTAAATACCTAGAAATAAGTTTAACCAAGGGAGAAAAAGATTTATATGCTAAACACTACAAAGTATTGAGGAAGAAATTCAAGAAACAAATTATGGAAAGACATCGCATGTTCACAGACAGAAAGACGATATTGCTAAGACGTAAATACCAAAATGATCTCTAAATTCAATGCAGTCTCTGTCAAAACTGTAATGGCTTTTTGTTTTCTTTTGCAGAAATGAAAACACAGGTCCCCAAATTCACGCAGAACTATAAGGAGCCCCAAATGGCAAAAAACAATCTTGGAAAAAGAATAACAAAATTAGACGACTCATACATACTTCCTGAAGTTGAAATTTACTGCATAGCTACAATAATTAGAACAGTACTAGCATCAGGACAGACTTACAGACAAACAGAACAGAAAAGAGAGCCAGGAAAGGAAAGGGAAGGGACGGGAAGGGCAGTGCAGGGCAGCCTGGAAATAAACCCTTAACATAGACAGTGAAATGATTTTTGACAAGGGCACCAAGAACATTCACTGTGCATGGGACAGTCTTCTAGAACAACCAGTGTCCCTGCTAAAACTGGGTACCCTATGCAGAAGAAAACCTTACACCATGTGAAAAATTGACTCAAAATGTATCAGAGACCTAAACTTAAGAGCTAAAATTATAAAACTCTTAAAGAAAACACTGAAGTAAACCTTCATGGCATAGGATTTGGCAACAATTTCATGGATATTAAAGCAAAAGCACTGGAAATGAAGAATTAGATACTGGGTTCCATCAAAATTAAGACCTTTTCTTACACTGAAACACACTCTCTAGAAAGCAAAAAGGCAATCTGCCAGGTGGAGAAAATATCTGCAGATCGTGTATCTGATAATGGCCTAATTTCCAGAATATATGAACTCCTAAAACTCAACAGCAAAGCAAACAACCCAGTTTAAAAATGGGCAAATAGGTTGAATAGACATTTCTGCGAAGAAGATACAAGTTATTGCAGAATAGAAATCAAAACCGTAATCATGCTACTTCACGTCCACTAGAAAGGCTCTGCTAACGTGCTGTTTTCATGGAAAGTGAGTGCTGGCTAGGATGTGGAGAAGCTGGTACCCACAGCTGATGGGAATATAAAACGGTGCAGACTGGAGAAACGTTTGGTGGTGCCTCAAAGAGTTAAGCACAGATGCGCCACAGGACCCAGCAGCTCCACTCCTAGGAGCAGATTCGAAAACACTGAAGGTTAGGACTTGAACAGACACTTTTATAGCAGCGTTGCAGCTACTCACTGCCACGGGACAGAAACAGACCACGTGCCCGGCGAGAGAAGAACGGATGAACCACGTGTTGCTCTGTACACACTGAAATGCCAACACGTGCTACAGCGTCGATAGACCTTGAAAGCCTGTGCTAAAAGAAATCAGGCAGACACGAAAGGACAAATGCATATGATCCCACTTACACAGGGGGACCAGCACAGGCAAATGCGTAGGGAGAGAACGCAGACAGGACCACGGCCTGGGGAAGACAGAGGCAGGGAGCTGTCACCTGGGTACAGAGTTGATGTCGGGGACAGGGAGGGGCTGGGTGCAGACAACATTGTGAATGGATGTTAAATGCCACTAAATGGTACACTCAACAAATGGCGAAAATTGTAGACTGCGTGTGCTCTACCACAAAACAAAACACTAGCGGTGCCCTAACCACCCAATCCTGAATTGTAACTGATTATAAAAAATAATTTGTTATGATGACAGACTTCTAGGTAAATTCTGGTTGCAAAAATCCACCATGTGGACGGACCAACAAAGGCTGTTGCGAGGAGCAGCCAGTGAGGCAGGAAGAGAAGATTCATGTCCCAGGGTCCAACGGGATGGGAGCTGAACTGTTTTAACATGGGGAGAAAGGCGAATCTCAGCAATGCGACGGGTCCATCAGGGTGGGAGCTGAGACCGGATTATCAGATTCGGCAACAGAGAGATCACTGTGGCCGGGGGACAGCTGCTCAATAAGAGCCGGGCAGAGCCAATCACAAAGGGAAGGGGAGGAAGGAGGGGGGAGCGGAAGAAGAGAGAGAGCAGGGGGAGGGGGAGAGAGTGTGGGAGAGA